CCAGCTGTGCCTACAGCACCAAATCACGCCCTGCTCCTGGCTCTGTCCCAGGAACACAACCACTGGCCTGCAGGAGATTTGATAAATGGCACATGCTGGATGTGACCTGGTGCTTTACACTGGGATCTCCTGGACACTGTGCCAAAATCCCTGTGCTGCCTGAGGAAATGGAATCTCTTGATGATGATGATGACTTTGCACCTTTTGTTCTGCTCCTCTGTAGGCTAGAAGTCTCACAGGAGGTTTTCTTTACTCACTTTTCCTGTGCAGGTGGCAAGGACAGTCTCTACAACACATCCAGGACAGTTTTTCCAGTCTCATACCCCATGAGAAGATTTCCACAGCTACAGCCAGACACCAGAAAAACTGAAAATAAGAGGTGGCCTCATGGTTTGTCACAGGTTTTCAACCAGTCTCATCCCACCAGGTCAGTGGTATAGACTAAAATTCCTAAAAGCTCAGTCAGGGACATGATTCTGCCCCTCCTGCCCAGTCACATCTTTGTTTGAAGCTACTGAGGCTCATTCATTCTTGCTGATTTTATCTCATATTTCAGACACTACATTCACAGAGTTACACCACACACAGGAACTCACTGACACTCTTCAGAGAGTCTGGAAAGTACAGTCAAATGTATAGAAGATTATTATTTTGATTTTCAATGATGAGGTGAATTCTTGAATGTCTAACTGTCCAGCACTGAGAGGATGAGTATGAAGAGTAGGCTTCAATGTGTGGTGAAGTCTCTGAGAATGTTTTGGGTCATATGTGACAGACCAGCAAAGAGAAAATTGTTCTCCTTCATCATTCTGATGAATATTGTAAGATAAAGCTTCCAGTGTTCTGGGTACCACCTCATTAAGTGTCACTAATTATATAAGAAACCTTGTTCCATTCTCCATCCTGAGCTCCTGCCTCAGTGTCCCACTGCTCCTGCCTACCTAATGAGGTGGAGCAAATGATCCAGAATGCATTTTAATGCCTTCCTGCCCTGCAGAACCAATACACCTTCCAAAAAGCTGCATTTACATTTGACAGATTTCCAGCAATACACAGCACTGCCAAAAAAAAAAAAAAATTAAAAGCACTGTGCTCAACAGAAACTACAATAGATGTTTAATATATAGAGGAACTGGGGGTTGATAAGAACACAGGAGTTCCAAATTACGCAGAATTAAAAAAAAAATAATAATTTGTGTTCTCTGGCATCTGGAGCAAGAAACTTAAGCATTGCAGCACCAGTGCAGTGCAATCACAACACTGAGGCACTGAGTAATAACAGATTTTAGAACATTTGAGCAGCAGAAAGTAAACATAAGAATGGAAGACATTCCCTGAGTTGTGTCACAACTCTTGCCTTGGATTCTAACCCATTCCATGTCATTAGAAATAGAAATTAAATTTAAAAAAAAACACCTTTCACTCAGCCCCACATAGAGCCAAATTTTGGCACAATTCCTTGATGGCACAGTTAGAAGAAATTAGCTTGAAATGAGAGTAATTGGGATTTCTTTGAATCACAATATATTTAGTGGGAAAACCCCTCAGCCTGTTTGACCTTTCAGTGCTGTACCAGGAGCCCTGGCCCTCCTCAGTGTGCTTTAGGCAAAAACACACCAAGATGTAAAACAAAGCTGCCACAGTCAACTCAAGACCTGCACAGTGAAAACACTGTGATTTTGAGTATACTTTAGAAGGAAAAAAAAATATTACATGATTGTCAGCATACATTTTATCTGCCACTTGCTCCCTGCTTTCAGCCATCCATTGTGATGCACACTATAAATACACAATCTGTTATTTTCCCCCCAAAGATTGTCATTCATTCAGTACACAAACACCTGCTGAAGAAAAATTCAGCCCTAGCAATTAACGTTTGGCAACAATTTACTCAACTGACAATGGCATTAAGCTCAAAATAAAGCATTTAGCTCAACCTGAAATCCATTAATATTATTGCGTTGTGATGAGCATCAAATAACAGTAGATTTTGGAAAAGCAGCCTGAGACAAAGCTGCACACACAACAGATAACATGCATGAAGTAGAACTGCTTGTCAGAAGAGAGACTTCTTCTGCTGAAACCAGAAACATTCATTTAAGTTTATATTGTCATGGAAAACAGGTGCAAGGCTAAAAAATCAAGGGACTGCAGTCAATAAAAGTTAAACTCTTCTAATCTGTAGCCTCTAATCACGCCAGCCTGTACAGGAGAGTGAAGAACACTCACTTAAATTTGAAATATCTCTCCCCAGTTTTCAAGAGTTGCTTTTGTCAACCTTTGCCTTGTTTGGTTGATAGGACCTAAAACATTTCCTGAATCTGTTGTGGCAGATTAACCCCAGGCAGCAGCCAAGCCCCAGGCAGCTCCAGTGGCATCAGCAGAGAGAAGGTGAAGGGAAGAGCTACAAAACTTGTGGGTTGAGATAAGGACAGATTAATAGGGAAAGCAAAAGCCACACACACAGAAGGGGAAAAAAGAGACTAAATGGGTGATGAGAAATTTAGAATAAGGAAGCTCTGACATAAGAAAAGCTCTAGTTATTCAAGCACACCTCTGCATTACAAAATTTCCAACACTTCTAAGATCCAAAATCTCTTATCATTATTACACCATTTGGTGTAAATTTTTTTAGCAAGAAGTTGAAAACACCACCCATACCTAAATTTTCAGTTTTAACTGGCAGCCACATTTTATCATAAATCAATTTCAAAAATATTTATTTTAGTTTTGTCTAAAACTTGTTTTAATTGTTAGTGAGTGCACTTAACTCGTGATAAATCACATTTAAACCCAACTAAGTTTTCCACTAACTAAACTAATTTAAAATTCTACTGTTCACAAAAGTGGAACAATTCTGAATTTCTGTGACACAATCTGGGTGCCTAAATCTGATAAAACCTAATGGAAAGCAACTCCTAAGTGACTTTGAACCTTTGGCAACTTTCTCTGAGATCCCAGCTGCCCTTCCAATATGTGCACTCTGGACCAAGACTGGGAAATGGGCAGGATAGTGCTTGCATGGGCACCTTTGTAGCCTGCTGAAAACCTGTTAAATGCAGGATTTAATCCGAGTTGTACCTTGGAAACTCTTGGCCTGTAGGTAAGAATAGCTTTCAGAAAATTGCCCAGAGCAGTTTTTATCAAGCCCCTTGCTCAAAGAAGTTGTTCTCTCAGTTTGCCTGGCTGCAGATAAGGACAAGGTCACACTCTTTACTCCTCAAATGCTTTTTTCAGCCTCTTGGCTGTGACACAGCACTTGTCAGGTTAGTTTTGGGTTGCAGCCTAGTTATTTTCTCCTGCATCAGAGCATCAGGCTCCTCTTCCTTCTCACTGCATCCCTTACAGCAAATCCTCACCACAGCAGACACAAAGTGCCTGCCACACAGCATAGCCAGCTTCAGCAAACACAAAATAATTCCTCTAATAGCAGCCAAACAAAAGGATTTTGTCTTTATGTCTCTTAATGAAGCCAGCTATCAGTATTTTCACACAAGATCACCAGCGCCAGTTTAAATAGAGAATATAAGTTATACATTCATATAAATATCAGTGTGTGATTAAGATTTACCTGAAGGGGATATGTGAGTGCCTCTCAGTTTCTGCCAGTTTATTTTTGTCATGGTTGCAGCCCCTTTGGAAGCTCTCAAGGTCACACAATTATCTGCCTCCACTGGCTCCCATTCCCTCAGCATCCTCCCAATATTTTGGGTTAGCAGACACTCCTGAGGCACCCCAAATATCCTCAGCCTAAACATTCCTGTCTGCTGCTGCAGCTGCTCATCACCTGCACCTGTCTGAACCAAGCACAAAGCAGCAGCCAGCAGGGCTAATGGTGCTGGGGGATGAGCACAAAAGAGCACAGCCTCACTGCAGCTGGGGCAGCACTCAGACACCTCACAAGTGGCCCCCAGGTAACACAAAAGTGGCAATTAATTGTTATTTCAATAGCAAGGCTGCTTTCTTGGTCGTGGAAAGTGTGGGCTTGCACAGAGTGCAACAATTTTCCAGTCTAAATCTGATTTTTCAAAGTACTTTACAGCTCCTGCAGAGATCGAGCATTGAGCTACAGGGCCTTTAACAGGTTGTGTAATGATCAAAGCTTAAAAAAAAAAAAAGCAACAACAAAAAAACCCAAACTTCTTTGCCATTTTGAGAAACCTCTTGAAAATACAGGAACCTTCCTCTTATCACTCAGATGAAATTGAGACTTCCTCAAATTATCCTGCAGCAAAAAAAAAACCAGCAGAAACAAAACCAAACCCCAAGGAGAGGAAAAAAGTATATTATTCCTTTACAAAAGGAATAATTTACATGTCAGTGGCCTGGTTCCTGTCCTTGCCATGCCATTTTCCTAGCTCACATGCCTTAGGTGTCAGATTGCATGGGGAGGGTCTTCTTTTTCTCTTCCACCCACAAAATCTGCTCCAAATATACCTTTTTTGATAACTTCTTCACCCCCACCCCCCATAAGTGGAATATCCCCATGAAAATATCTGGTTTCAATTTTTCAATATTTCTGAAAAGAATAAATGTCATGGAAAAGAGTAATTCCTGAGCAGTTCTGGCAATGTGGAATATAAAAAGAAATAAATAGACTGAGAACTTTATTACAGAGTCTGTGTGAAACACAGAGAGAATTTCTGCCATGCTAGATTGGAGTTTACAGGCACACAATAGCTAAAGATGTGTTTAAATCATATGGAAAAGGACAAAAAAAATAAACTGATGCCTTAAAAAAATTATTCTATTTCAACTTGTTTCTAAAAAGGAAGAAAACCATGCAGAAGCATGAGGCCTTTTAGGTCACAATGTAGGTGGATTATTTGATTCAGATTAATCTGTGGTGTAAAGAGTGCATCAACCTGGCTCATGATTTGAACATCAGCAAAAGTAATGTAAAACCACAGCTTTCATCACCTCTTCTTTTTAATAATCCCTCGAGTCCTTTTTGGACTCTAAGATTTTCTCCAGGACCTGGTTGTGTGTGAGAGAATTACCTGACCAGCCCTGATCACAAGAAGATGCTTCTTCCAGAAAAACACTTGGCAATGTACAGTTCTCACAACAGCCACACTTGCTCTTTGGTTACATCTGTACCAATAAATAAAAATTAAAATTAATAAAAATATAATGAAAAATTAAAATAAAAATACACATAAAATACACATATATAAAAATACATATTATATTGTATTCTATATATAATGAATATAAATATATTAAATATATTTTTATATATAAAATATTTAAAAATAAAAACAAATAAAATAAAAAAATTAAAAATACTCTGAGCAGTTCTCTGTCCCTGGGGCCAAATCCTATGGAATTTTCCACACAGAAATCAGTAAATCTCCAGCACTGAGCTGGCCTCATCTGCCTGCAGGAGATGCTCCACAAAACTCTCAAACTAGAGCCAGGAATTCTCCAGGAGGACAGGTTAGGGATCAAGAGAACATTTAACAGCTATGTTTGTGTGCCTGCAAACTGCCACTGTTAAATTTACTGAATTAAAGCCATACAGGCAGCTTTTGCTTATTTTTTGAATAATTTGAAGTGCCAGGTGAACGTGTTAGTGCCACAGCTGGCTGGGTCACACCCCTGTAGGAATGGTGCATTTTCCACTGGATGGATTTCTGTGGCTCAGCCTTACTGCTGGGTAAAACTTAAACCAATGCACTTTTTCAAAACCACAGATTTACATCAATAAGACAAAGCTGCAATAATAGCAACACAGATAAAAATTACTTATATCAGAGAGTGACTCAGCTTCTCAAATGGCTCCTAGGGTAGGACAAACCTCTTCCACAACATAGCCCTGACTGTGGTGGGGGTTAATCCTGCTTGGTGCTGACAGACCCCTGGTGACGCCTTCAGCATCCTTATCCCATCATATCCCACAGTCAATCCACAGTTCATAAATTCTCCCCAAAATTCCCCCAAAAAAGCATTTCCTTTGCAATAAAGAAGGCACAAATGAGAGTTAACAGGAAGAAACTCTTGTTTACACCCAAAATATTTGGCCATGCTGGTGGTGCAGTGCTGGGGAACTCCCCCCTTCTGCTGTCCCTGATGTTCTGCTTACACTGACAAGAGAGGAGTTGCTCTAACTTCCCCTGAAACTTCTTTCCATCCTTTTCCATTTGTTGCCTTGAATTATTTTGAAATGTGCTCTGAGCTACAGGAAACATAAATTCCTTTTCCCGGGAGAACGCTGAGAGGTTGCAGAGCTGTCACTTATTTCCCACGATTCAATAATTGTTTGTTTAGTCTAGGGGGAAGAAGATTTTTATAACACTTTGGTTTAAAGAAGGGTGATTCCTTATTACAGCAGTGGCTAGATCACAGCTTATTGTACTTCTTATCACCTCCTTTGATAAAAGAAAAGAGCTTATTTTAGAATAAACTGTCAGTGGCATTGAGCAGAATCGGGATCGCTGCTCCAGGGTTTGCAGAGACTCTGGAGATCAGCAGGAATATTTGTCATTGTCACAAGCTGCTATTAATGCAGTGCTTCATTTGAGAATTTCAACTCCCAAAGGACAAAAGACACTTGTCAGCTCCCCGAGGAGGGGAAGGCTGCAGGCTGGTGTCTGTCCTGCATTTAGCACTTCACAGCTTCTCTGGGGATGCTCAGAACAGGAGCCAGCAAAACGAGCAACAACCATCAAAAAACAAAACACAAACAAAACAAAATCAAAACCTTCAAGTTGCACTTTGTGGTGCGAAGAGAACAAACTTTGCTGCAGCACTGGAGGCACACCAGCTCAAAATATTAGCTGAGATTTGGGCCTGAGCTTCACTCACAAACCCACCCTGCAGGATGGGAGAGCCTCGGTGGTGTCTCCTTGTGCATGGAGATCTGTTCCTACAGGAGCAAGAACTGAGCCCATGTACAAAACCCAGCCCCAGTGGCAGGAAAAAAATGTAGGAAAAGTTCTCTGCAGGGGAGGAATTTAACAGCTGCGAGGATTGCTGCACTCTTGCTGCTTTAATCACTGCCAGAGCTGCTCTGCCCAGCCCACAAAAGAGAAATCCTCATTACCTATTCAAGAGTCATTTTCTTCTATCAACAGATTTCTTGGGGTGCATATTGATAGTTTTATTTGCCCCTGGTGGAGAAGACAGGATGTTTGAATGTCCAGAAAAGGTATTCTATCCACTTGCCTTCTTGCAATAGTTAACAAAATGGAAATTTGAATAATTACCAGTGCAGGCATCTCCACTCTTCTTTACCAACAGGATTTTCAGACCTGGGAAAAGGTTTATGACCTGTAAGGCAAGAGATGGATGAATCTAACCACTGGCTGAATTTAAAAAGGTAATCACTTGCAAAATCTTCACAGATTAAAAAAATAGTTCTTATGCTTTTATTTTTTTAATTGATAATACATTTATTTATTCACTTGATGCATCATTAACACACTGCTTCATCACCTGAACATTCAAGTGCACAAGAAGCAGCAGTGCCTCATAACCATTGCAAACAAAAGCCAATGTTACTCTGAAAAATAAACGGGCTTTGACTTTTATTGAATTATAAAATCTCTTTCTTCTGGTTTGTTTTTTTTTGTTTGTTTGTTTGTTTTCCTCTTTTGAAATCATACCAGAAACACATTTATCTAACTTTGGAAGCCAATAGACTTAGTTTGCACGAGGGAAAAATCTGTGTAAGGGTTGTTATTCTTCCTCAGAAGAAAATGGAAACAAATAATATGGTTTCAGACCAATTTACAGTTGATAGGAGTATTGGAATTCCTTGTATCTCCTCCCGTGAGTTACACAGCCTTGGAGCAAATTACATCGTGTTCAGCACAGTCTCAGACTGGGAATTACAAACAATACAACAGTCTCCAGCCATCAGGCGCATAATGCTAAATATAATTTGCACTAGATTACTTGTTTCTAAAATTATATCACTGTTACCTAAAGAGTGATGCATGGAATTATTTTTTTTTCATTTCCTTACTTTTATAGAGCCTTACAAAAGACAAATAAATGTTTCACTGAGGAAAACACGTATCTGTAAAATGGTGAAGAGTAATTGTCTTCATCAGTATCTTTTCCTATTTTTGGTATTTCTAGCTATAAACAAAATATCTAAATATTTAAGCATGATATGTCAGCTGCATTGCCTGACCAGGTGTTTTCTGGGCAGCTCCCTGAAAGAAAAATTTTTCTTTTTCTTTTCTATGGGCTACCAGTTTGGAATAGCATTCACATGTTTTGAGAGACACAAAATAAAATCAATGTTTGCAGGAAGTAGATAGAGCCCAACTTGCAAGTGACTGACAAGTCTTGTTCTGTATTTGGTCTTCAACTTAGAGGCTAAAAACATAAGGAATAACTTTTTACAGAGAGTTATTTACTTTTTACTAATGGTTAAGAACTTGTTAATGTATTTACTTCCACAATCAGGAATAAATTAACAAAATTTATTAACATAAATAAACATAATAAATTAACAAAAAAATAAAAAGGGACTAGATAGTGATAGAATTTTCAGTATCCGGAGGAAGTTATTTTCAGCCAGCAAATATTTCCCACCAGGTTCCCTGCATCTGTTGCAAGTAATGAGGACCTAGAAAACACGTCAGGAATTGCAGCCCAGAACTGGCACTGTGCTTGCACCTGCTATGATGCTGGGAACAGACAGAAAACATCTTCAAGATATCTTTTTTTTTTCAGATGTGACTGACAAGTTTAATTTATTTGATATACTTCTTAGTTATGGGAGCAGCAATAATGCAACAGAAGGATGGTGCAGAGTTGCTGTGGCAACAAAGAACTCAAAGTCAGGGCATGAGGCATGAAGGGCCTGGGTACAGAGAGAGAATTCTCCCTTGGCATGGGAGAAGGAGAAGTTTTACAGCAAAAGGCAAATTGTAGAAATATAACACAGCACTCGCCCCTGACACTGGTAATATCCAGAATATATTAGTCTGAACAAGTCCTTTACAAGTCCCAGTTTGTGCACACTGATAGCAGCCAGCAACTCATGGCAAACACAGGAGTTAAATCTGTAAATCTATATGATAAATCTAAATCTATGTGATAAACCAGGACATCAGTATCCACCCCCGTGTTCTGCTGTTTGAAACAATGAAACCTAGAGGAAAACAGATCTCCCCTTTTCCCTGTTGTCCCTCTGGCCACCACATTGCACAGGTGAAGGTGTGAGTGCACCCTATATTCTCCCTAAGGCTGTCACACACAGTTCTCAATGCTCCCATTTCCAAAGCAAGTGATTTTCAGGACAGATGGATGCAACAGCTTCCATTTTCATTAGCTTCATAATCACTGGAAAGTGCCAGAAAAACATACTGTATTTTGAGCAAGAAAATTTTCATGGGCAATATTTTTTGGCCCCGCTGGAAGTATTTCCTTGTAGCAGGCGCTGCCTTTGCTCCCTTCACTGGGAAATCAAACGTTAACCAGAAATGCTAAGCTGTGCATACTAATGCCTGAGAAATAATTGAAATACAGAACAGTTACAACAGTATAAACTGCAAGGGACCCAGCCATCTGGAAATATTGAAATCCCTCCATGTTCCATGGGTTTGAGTATTTCTGTGGTGCTGCGTGGCTGCGCAGGAGGGAGCCAGACATCCCCAGGGTGCACATCCCACCTGGGCTTCCCGAGGCAGCCCAGACAGCAGCACCTCACAGGGGAAAAATGTCTCAGAGAAAGAAAAGGACTACCTTTTCCAGCCACCAGAGAGAGGCCAATCACTGGAAAAGGATGAGAGGAAATGTTACATCAGGTGGCAGCCAGCTGATGGGGCCCTTTGTAGGCCAGATGGGAAGGGAAAAAGTTTTAATTCAACACTTCTTCTTGAGTCCCATTGTGTCTGGTTGCACCTGCAGCTTGCAACTGAAAGAAGCTCCTTTTTTTTTTTTACAGTTTATGTCTTCTTTGGAGCTTTGTAATCATTTAGGCACAGCATAAAGGAAACTATCCCAACTGTGACTTACAATGTAATTATTTGTGCTGCAGAATTTGCTTCCATTATAAAACATCTGCCTTGCTTTTTTCAGCATGAATGTACCTTTGCTTTATACAGGTTATGCAACACTAAAGTTTAAGAGATCTTCTGCTCACTTTGCACATGGCTTTATGATGAGCAGTAATAATAAAATAATTATATTTCCTCCACAGATCTTTTTGCCAGGACTGAAATTGGATCAATACTGTAAACTTCAGCCTGCTGCATCTCTCAATTTAACCACCTCAACAAGGTGCATTAATCACTCCATGGCCATATTGATAGCATCAGGCATCCTTGAAATGTCTCTTGGTATTTAGCCACTCCAGTTCTGGAGGGCTGTGGAGCTCATTCTATAGCAACCATGGCTGTCACATTCATATTTTCTCTGGAAAAATCCCTTCACCCAGGATTTTTCTCCTGGGAAGCTGAGAAGCCTCAGAGAAAAAGGAAAACAATTTTCTCACGTGCTTCTCCTGTGTTTTGCTCATGTGGAATGAGGTTGGAGATTGTTTACCCACAGGTGATTGTTTCATTGGGTTCTGCTGTGAGTTGTTTTGACTCTTTGGCCAATCAGTGCCAAGCTGTGTCAGGACTCTGGAGAGTCAGGAGTTTCATTATTATCTTTTTAGCCTTCTGTAAGTATCCTTTCTGTATTCTTTAGTACAGTATAGTTTAGTATTCTTTAATATAATATAGTATCCTAAAATAATATATTAGCCTTCTAAGAACATGGAGTCAGATTCATCATTCCTCCCTTCATCAGGCACCCCACAAATATAATACCATGGCAAAAGCGGCTCTGCCAGGAGTCCCCCAAGCACAACTCACTAAAATCCAATAACTCTATAGGCTGTACACTATTTATTTCTTATACTCGTGTCCATTCCAGAGCTCTGTAGCAGTTTTACACCATTGAGCTGACTCTATTTGTTCCTCTTTTTTTAATGAAAAGCACAGAGAAAAAAAAATAGAATGATAAACATTTGCAGTCTAACTTTATTTAGAAGAGAACTTGTTAAAAATTAAACTTAACTTTATGGCAACTGTTGGAAAGGCCCAATTGTGTTAAGACTGAAACACTTGTTAACAAAGCAATTTATAAAAGAATAAAGATGCTTTCTAATTACAGGTAAAACTACAAGACAAATATCTGGATTTATGTCAACACAACCACTCTACACTTTTCAGTGTTCCATAATACCTTGGTGTCTTTATGTACTGGATTTATTCTCTACAATGAAACAAATGTTAAGACACCTCTTTTGTTTAAGTTGGTAGTAACTAATGGCTCTTCTTGGTAAATCCTTTGGAGCTTCACTCAGATTTTAAGATAATTACACACCTCAAAAAAAACCCAAAAAAACCTATCTGTCAAAGCACCTATTATTTTTTTCAGAATTTGAGTGAGAACTTACCTGTAAAACAGCTTTACAGAAACATTTCATCTATTAGCTTTAGTGAAGCTCCTTTGATCATCTAGTTTAAGTGAAAAATAGATGTCATTTTTTAAAAAAAAATCTCCTACTTAATTAAATCAAGTTCAATATTAAACTACATTTAAGTTAAATTTCCATTTGCATGCATACAATTGGACAAATTCCATGTAAATAAAATTAAGGGAAAAAAAGTTACCCGACGAACACACAAAAATGAAGGCTCTGAATAAATGCACACAAAGCTGCAGAGCTCAGAATTCTCCCAAAGAACAGCACAACTCTGAGCTGGAAAGAGACTTAAAAATTCTGTGCATTGTGGACAACCTTTACTCAGGGGGAAAGAAAGGATGAAGCACAAAGTTTAACCAAGAGTTCCAATAAACTTTTTAGAGCTTTTTGGCACCCACACTCCGTGTTTGGGCTTGCAGAGCAAGACCTGAAGCCTCTGACCCAGAGTGTCCCTGCACAAAAAATTAAATGTGCAGAAAGCTCCTTTTTTCTTACTGCAGTGCAGGAAGCCTGGGAAGGTATAATTTTCTCCTTTCATTTGGCTCTGACTATGACTTAAAATTTAAGTTTTGTTTCTTTACATTATCAGTAAGAAAGAAAAGGTTGTAGGGGAGAAGCATCCTAAAAGTTTTATTCTGATTCTTATTACTCTTTCTTTTAGTTACTATTAATAAACCTTTCTTTATATCTTTTTAAAATTTTAAACCTGCTTTGCTTTCTCCTAATCCTACCTCAAAACAAAAATAAGTGAGTACATCCTGGTAACTGCACTGGTGATTAACCAACACTAAACCCATCACACTAATTGGTACATTAGCCAAAACCACTACACAAAATTAGTGTTTCCACCCCGTTTCAAACTCAAACCTCCACAGGCTGAAATGCTTTCTGGAGCCCAGGACACTCCTGGCTGTGCTGCATTTTCTCCTCACTGCAAAGCTTTGGCTGCAGACAAACAGGCAGGAGGTGGTTCCTTTGAAAAGATGTGGTATTTTCCTGAAAATAAAATAAAATAAAAGAGGGGTGTAGGGGAGACACATCCTGCGAGGCTGTGGAAAACCTGCCTTTATAGAATGCTTAAAATACAGCCAAGCTGGGACTGAAAACATTGCTTTTCCACCTCCTGCTCCTGGGGAAGCACCACAGCTCCCAGGAAAGCGAGCTGAACTTGAAAGATAAACAAATTCCATCCTGCCAAGAGAAACCTGCAGCATCCTGTCCAGCCTTGGCAGCTCCTCCAGCTGCCCAGAGAAGAGGTGAGCACAGAGTCCAGCTGCTGCTAGGGGAGGGATCTGGTCACGATTGCACCACCTCGCTCCACGCTCCTGAGAGCCAAAATTGGCTCTAGAGCTGAAGCACCTGCAATATCCTTTCCTCTGCACCACTTGCTTAGCCTGGAAATTAAAAAGAAGCCATTGATGGCAATTTATGTGCACCAGGGTGGCTGTGAGAGGAGCTTGAGCACACTAAATTGCAAGTAACAGTTCTGTGACAGCTTAACAGAATGTAATCACCAAATTTGAAAAGTAAGATTGGGTAAAACAACAAAAGGACAAAGTCCCCACCCTTCTCACAAAGTTTTTTTTATAAGCTTTCCAACAAAATCTCTGACTGGGGATGGGAACTTCAAAGTGCCTGAGACACTGTGGCCATTTCTGCACAAGGACACGTGCATCAAAACCAAATCTCTGTGCTTGAGTTTGATTCAAAATCTGTACAAAAGCCTAACGTGCATCTCATTTCCATACCAAATCAAATGCCACTTTCATGAGAATTACATGCACTCAAATGGACAAAAGACTAGATTTTATAGATGAGATTTCTCTTTGTGTTAAAAGATTCCTCTGTACCAGTAAACACAGAATCCATTTTTCATACAGGCTCTTTCTGCAGAATGTCCATATCATCATATTTTCAGCTTGTACATACTTCCCAGTTGCTAGTGCTCCAAAACCCCCATTATCTTAGGAAGGGGGTTTCCCCTTCTTACCTTCAATTGCAATTTGAAAATATGTCTTGTCCGTTTTCTTATCTTTTCAGCTTTAAATCAATTTTAGCAGCTTGAGAGAAATGTGGATACTCAGTGCAAAGATGAAGGCATTAGTAAAAGGCTGAACAAAACATGCTGGAGCCAACCAAATACCTGGAGAGAGGGAGGAAAAGGAAGGAGGCCAAAATCAGAAAGGAAAAGGGACAGATGTGCACCTATATTGCACACACAGCTCAGGTAAAGGTAAAAAACATGCTATATATAATATATATATTATAAAACATATATAATGGCTATTTTATCCTAAACAGAAATATGGTAGGTGGCATTCAATGGACAAATCCCTTTTCCAGGAGCAGTGCTAATCCCTAAAATCTCAGGCATCTGAGACACTCCACATGTCCCTATTAAGCTACAACAGCAGAACAAACTGAGTCTTTTTAATGTTGTATGAATAAACTAATTTATATTGCTGATTCTCTCCTCCACCAACTCATGTTCCCGCACATTACTTGTTGTTCTTCAACCTTATGATTCTCAGATGGCAAATTAAGGGTGAGAAGATTCCTCACATTTGACTACAATTCATCTCACTTTCCTGCTCAGTTCATAAAAGCGAGAGGGAAAGAGACATTTCACCTACCACCTCTTATTCCTTTTAAAATGACAAATGAATCAGACTGAAATGCATTTTGGAATACCATACAGAAGAGCTTGCTTTTGCCAGCAGTACCTGAGTGAGATGGAAATTATCCACAGCAAATCCATTCTTATCTGAGCTTTGGTATTACCCACTTGACACTACTAGTCAGTAGTCGATTTGAGCGAAATAAACCTTATTTTTCCACAATCTTTAGGTAAAAAGAAAAATATCTGAAGGTAAAAATCTTCTCTGTGGGGGTTCTTTCTACTCCTACAGCAAGCAGGCAGTATGCATTTCATTTGGTTTAAAAGAGGCTTCACCCACCTGCTCCCCTCTGCCTTTATTTCCAACTTTCCTCCCTTACCTGCCGTGATTGCAATTGGTGCCATAAACCAGCTCAGCAAAGAACTTACACAGGGGAATTTATTGCCAGAGGCAACAACAATAGGCACTTCCCAGCCCCACAAGTGAAACTAATCACATTAACCCCAATAATTACAGCTGACAAGGAGCACAGCTGTGAGCCAAATTGATCTCGCAGGGGTGCCCACGATGGCATTGTCCCAGCCGGCACCTCACAGAGCTGGGCAGGCAGGGGGGACCATAAGTGGGAAGTCACTTTGCATCCAAGTTGGCATGGCAAGGATAAAATACTGTCTCCTGAGGAATGTTTGCATAAATTGAAGGGGAAGCAAACCCCCAGCAAAAACCCCCAGTCCGTCAGGGAAGGGCCTGCCCAGCAATAAACAGCATTAAGCTCTTTTTCCATATCTCTGGTGAGAATCTTGTTCAAAAGTGTTGTGTCTGACACAGAGGCCTCCATTTCATCACTTTCCACAGAGGCTGGAAGATGTGCTGCCTGCAGATGTGCTGTCTGCAGCCTGGACACAGCTGAGCAGAGCACATTTCCACAGCACTCCAGATACTGATTTGGGAAACACCTTCGTGTCCTGCAGAACTGATTTCCCACAGGCTAAAGCCCCTCAGGAAGATTAGCATGGCACAACCTGGAATGAGAGGGTGGATCTGCACTAATATTTAACTCGGTAAGGAACAGGCACTTGAAACAAACCTGCTGATGGTCTCTACTCCCAGTGCTCCCATTTGCTTTGGAGAGCACAGGGTCTGAACCCCTGGGTATGAACAGAGTAATAACACATTTTCCAAGCCTCCCATACTAAGGGCTGTGGTTTGTTGTTTGTTGCTATTACTCTTTGAACTTTTCACTTAAGTGAACTCAGAAATACTAAAAATCACCTGTGAAGGAACTATGTAACATATTCAATTGAACAAAAGGTCCTGTTCGGGTCAGTATTGCAATGAATTCTATTTTATTTTGTTTTAGACCTTCTTTACAAGGCACCAAAAGTGCAGTGGTGGGTAGAAAACCAAACAATGAAGGAACAGAGTCTGCAGAAGTAATTCATTTATAATCTTGGAACAGCAGGTCATAACAACATTTTCAGCAGATTACAACGTATATCCTTGTTATACATTTAAAATGCTCCTTTATCAAGGCAAGCAGCTACTTCAGCTGAAATTTTGCAGCACACTTATCAATAAATCATAATACAGAGTTCCTAAACAGACCATTCCAAGGATGACCATTTTCAGCGTTTAAATAATCCCTACAGGAGATGGCTGGGTTTAAAGGACACAGATTTTTTTGTCTTCAGGAAGAGAAGGGAGACCAAAAAATGCAGTCAGGACAGAGGCAGATTGTCAGTAGGAAGCTCTGGAGGCAGAGGGGACAACTCAGGAACTGACAGAAAGATGAGATAAAGCATTAGACATTTTGAGCAAGGACAGAAGGATGCAAACATGCTTTTGCAGGGCAAGAAAGGTCTATTTTTACCCTGCTTTTTCCACGCTGGAAGATTCCATGATGGAAAAGAAAATAACGCCGTAACAGAAAACGATCATGACCCCCACAACGAGCCTGACCTCTGCTAGAGAATGTGCCAGTGTGATGAGGGAAATGAGGAATCTTAATGAGTTAAGGGGAAAGCCAGTCATCCTCATGCACTGGGCTCCCCCCAGGAGATCAGCCTGAAAGCAGCATTCACTGCATTTTGCAACTTTATTTGTATTCATCCTGGTTTGTGTTTGAAACAGAAAGCAGGACTGTTCAGACAGAGACACAGTCTAGCTGTGAATTTCTTTTTTCCCCTCACATTTTCCCCTGAATAAATCAAAATGTACCTGCAAATCCTGGCACCTGTAGGACAATTTTGGGGCAGAAGGGTCTGAGGATCCTGGGCAGAAGGCTGGGGATGGGGAGGTGGCCACCAGCTGTGGCTTGCAGGAGGAAGACAAGGGACAGGCAGCTCAGAACAGCAGCTTGTCATCCGAGACACAGCTGTGACCCTCAGACCCATATCTGTGCTGCAGAAAACTCCTGGTAATCTGGTGCCTCCATTTCCTGATAACCTGGGGAATGAGGTCAGACTATGCTAGAACAGGATCTTCCTTTCTCACTTAAATCACACCACACAGAGCCAAATGTAAAAATTATGTCTGTGGCACTACATTAAACAGTCCTTTTGCCTTTCCCTGGCTTAACCTGGTTCTTATCCATCCTGCTGTGGGCAGCTGTTGATGCCTTGTGAAATGATGTTTAGTTTTTCTATTTTTCAGATTTTGTGCTGCTTTAGTGTGTGGGTCTGGGCTTCACGTGAGGGCATGGTGAGCTCTGTGCACAGAGCAGGGAGACAAAACAATTCCTGCTCCAGCTGGGCACCAAGGACAAATGATCCCAATCTCAGCCCAGGAGCACAAACCCCGTGGGCTGCAGAGAGAAAAACAAGCAGGATGGGACTGCAGGGGCTGCAGCTGGAACTGGACACTGAACTGCAATGTGCACATGGAGCAGAGCTGAGCCCAGGGAGAGACCCCGGCAGCGCTCGTGCATTTTGGGGCCATTTGGGTTCATCTTGGGTGCAGCCCTGGCTGGGCTCTGGTGCTGCCCAAGGTGCATCCATGGAGGAGATCCTTGGAATGAATCCCTGCTTTATTCTTTAGCTCTGTCCACTCTCTGTTCTATGTCAGCCTTCACCAGGCATCGCTGTCCCTCAGCATTCACAATTCCCAAAATTTCTCCTTTTAGTGGGAGTTGCAGGGTCCCATCCCTGCCATGCAGCACACAGCATTTAAATGTTACAGCTGATCACTCCTCAAACCTATCCTCTAGCCCTCTTTAATATATTATTATAAACAGGGCACTGGAAGCCACATGGCACAGACATAAACCCCTCACCCTCAGAAAAATAACCAAAACAATGGGCAGATTATCCCACACATGGCCTGAAGGTGAATACAGACATGTTGTTGTCAATATTACCATTCTTTTCACTTTTATCTATTGTTTCCTCTGTCTATATCTCTTTCACAGGCAGGGAAGCAAATTTTAAAATTAAAGCCCTTTTTTGCTTGGAAAAAAGTTCTTCACTGGTAGCCCTTTTTAATCTTCTTTTTTTCCCAGTCAGCTGTTTTTCTAACACAATCTGGATTTGATAAAAGAGCTGAAAATGGAGGATAAAACTTTGTTTTTCTGAAAAAGCATCTTTCATAGAAAAGCTACAGAAATTATTAGATATCAGATTCTCTATCCATTTGAAATCTGGAGATGATTGTCCTGAACAATGGCTGCTTTTTAGGCTCTGGAATTTGCTGGAGTAAGGGGGTTTGGATAGTTGTTTTTTTTCAATAGAATGGGAATTTCCATGTAATTTCCAATTTGATCAGGTGAAGAATGCAAGTCCATCACTTTGCCTTCCCACACCCCACTTCCTACTTTACACATAATTTTTAGGCCTCTGTGTGATCATTTTCACAGAGGAGTCTTTTTATAGAATCACAGAATAATTTAGGTTGGCAAAGACATTTAAGATGATCAAGTCCAACCACTTTTGTCTCTCATTTGTCCATGCCAGAAACACATAATTTAAAAATGCCCAAATCACATTGTGTTCACTGCAGTGCAGGGGTGGCAAACCAGCAGAGGACATCTCTGCTCACAGCATCATTCCACCCCCAGCTCTGTCCCAGCTCTGAGGCTCAGCCAGTCCAGGGAGCTCCACCCATGCACTGCTGATTCTCCCACACCATAACATTCTGTAGGACAGGAGTGAGAAGCAGAGTTCTGCAGCATTTCTTTCTCATTTTCTCCTCTTTTTTTTTTTTTTTTCACACAGAATCGTCTCTGAAGTGCAGAAAATAGCACATGAACTTTAACTTCATCTTTGTAATAGTGCAAAGATATATGAATGGCACACACAGAAGACTGGAGTGATCTTGATTCCCTTCCAAATTTCACAGAGGTCAAAACAAGTCCAACACCTCAGCAGGAGAGAAACACTTGATCCTGCTTAGCCACCTCTTCATCAGTGGCACAAGGAACCATTCAACCTCTTCATTTCCCATCTGAACTTCTTTCTGAGCCTTCAGACACATGCAGTGGTGCTCTCTGGTGATAGCTATTTTCACCTCGAGGCATGGCAGTTGATGGAGCCAAATGCCCTTTCACAAAACATGGTGCTAATTTGGAAAGTCACAGTGCTATTTGTTACTCAAACAGCACTTCCACCTCATTCAGAGCCTTGTGTCCTGACAACCCAGGCAGGTGAGGAGTTTAGACAGCGTGATTCAAGGAAAGGCTCTAGTGGTGGTCAGCACTAGCAAGTCACTCTCTGAAAATGTTCTTTTTTGGGCAATTTAGCCTCCACCTGTGCTTGGAACCTTGTGGGGGTGCTGAACCCTTCCCTGTTGCTGGAACCAGGGTGGACCCAGCAGCAGTAACTGAGACACAGCTCAAAAAGGGCAGCAGGTCCCACCTTTTTGAGCCAATCAAGCAGATAAAATTCACACTGGGATCCAACGTGGCCTTAATGGATGAGCCACTTGGAGCATCAACTCCAGATTCTGGTTTTTTATGACTATTGGACATGAAAGTGTGGTGAGATGTCTCTCACATGCACTCTTCATGGTGATTTTGGTTTTCAAGGTTTTTACAGCATCCTGTTTACCCAGCAGGGCCAGCCTACTCTACTTTTGAAAGCCACTGACTTTGCCTCTTCTTTATGTGCCAAAACCTGCTTATGTACATGTTCATGAAGAATACCAAATATTAAAAGTCCAGTTGTCATAACGTACCACCAAATCCATTTTGTCTAACTTCAGGTGCCAAATA